GCAAAGCCCCGCCGCGGTGGTCTAGTGGATAAGGTACTCGGCTGCTGACCCGCAGGTCGCGGGTTCAAATCCCGGCTGCGGCGGCTGCATTTCCGATGGAGGCGGAAATGTTGTAGGCCCGTGTGCTCAGATTTGGGTGCACGTTAAAGAACCCCAGGTGGTCTAAATTTCCGGAGCCCTCCACTACGGCGTCTCTCATAATCATATAGTGGTTTTGGGACGTTAAACCCCACATATCAATCAAATCAATCCTGCCGGCGGCAAAGTCGAGCAAGGACGTCGGTATTTAGCCCGAACGAGCTGCTGCATTTATAGCCCTTACCAGCCACTGTTAGAAGTGCCTCTGTAAATACTCTGATAGATTGTACAAACATCTGTGCCTTGATCACAGGTTGCCTGTTGTTGCACTGCAGTCGTAGTGCTCTAACTTCTTGGTGAGCGCTGTTTAGTGTTCTGGAGGTTATTGGTTTAATACAAACTCACTATCATAAATGTGGGAAACCAACATCTGAAACACCTAGGTTATTTATGTCTACGTCGTCCGTAAGCAGCCCCACTTGGTGGGGATCAAAATTACTTTGTACACATAGCACTGCAGCATGCATGATTAGAATTTCGTACACTTGTAATTTTCAAAAAAACACTAAATGTCAATTAGTTTAGCTCAGAGTGAGTGCTCAATGTATGACAATATCTAAATTGGCCACAGTAGTGCCCTACTTACCGGGAAATTAAGCTAAATGTATCGCATTTCGCCACGAGTGGGACATCTTGAATATGATCCCAATGACGCGAGTGTCCCACTAGAATTAATCGAAAGTAATCAAACTAACCTTACTAAATAAAGAACCTCCATGCATCAAGAGATGTAATAAAGTACTGCTTGTCTGTTTCTGTCTGATTTATAGAAAAGAGACTCGCCAGGCGTTACGATGTGAAATGGTCCTAGTTGTTCAAAAGTTCCATTTTTGACTGGTTATGCTGGATAGGCTGTCATCTAGCGAGGTTCATTTGAACCAAGCAGGTAGAACACTTTTCAATTGTCATTGTTGCTCCCTCTGGTGCTATAGTGTCCGCGGCCGCGCAGAAAAGGAGAGAAACGTTCGGCACGGCAACAGTGATGTCAGAAAGACCACTTTCAGGCGGGTGATTTGAAGTGGTAGCGTTATGCGGGCCACTAAAGCGTGATTTTATCTCAAAATAAACACTTCCTTGGCACAAAAGTAGCACTGCAAGTTTTCTGGACCACTATTTCAACAATAAACGTTGACTTAATATAGGTCTTTTTTGTGTGCGCAACGATACAAGATTGTCACGGTGCTTGTGGCAAAAGGTGACCTTACAAAAAACGTCACCATACTAGGCCTCCAGTACCATACAAACATTCGATTCATTGATTTGTTTGTGGGATTTAACGTCCCAAAACCACCATATGCTTATGAGAGACGCCGTAGTGGAGGGCTTCGGAAATTTCGGCCTTCTGTGGTTCTTTAACGTGCACCCAAATGTGAGCACATGGGCCTACAGCATTTTCGCCTCCATCTAAAATGCAGCCGCCACAGCCGGGATTTCATCCCGTAACCTGCTGATCAGCAGCCGAGCACCTTAGCCACAAGACCACCGCGGCCCAGCACCATACAAACATTCACTACACAGCAAAATCACATGCGTGTGGTACATAATACACAATACTAGTAGCTAGAAAGGAAATAGAAATTACAGTTTAGCAGAGACTGCAGTGCATAACACAAAATTTGGACTGTAACTTACGACAAGATACATCATAAACATAAATCATACAGAAATAATTGCGTGAATAATACCCGTGCCATACGGGCAGAGAAAATGGCATTTACCTCCTAAGGCCTTCAGATTGAATGTCATTCGCGCGGTGCCACACAGATGAACGAAATGGCAGTTGCCCAAATGCCATTCGTCACCTAATGCCGTCGCCAGAACTCATTCGACTAAGAAATGCGTACTCTCGACGGCACAGCTGATGAATTAATTGTATAAAACGACATTTGATGCGTCCGCAAGGAAACTTTACACTTAATTTATATACACTAATCACTTGAACAAATGCTTAAAAATTCATCTTCAGCTGGTAGACGCTATAAAATAAGTGCAACAGGCGCCATTTCGTTTTTACGCAGCGGATCTGACTAGCTTTGGCTTAAGTTGCTACACGATCGGTTGCAACGTCGAGAAACAAAGTAACGAACGAAGTCTGACGGCAGCGAAATATGTTTATTTATACATTTATTATCTGACATGTATGAAGCTTGTAAACGCTTGTTCATTTTTTTATTGCTACTCACCCAATGCCCACGAGGAAGGGGGCGATCGACATCATCAAGTCTAATGTAATTCACTTTGGACGTGTAGCACCGCACGCCGAAGGAAATGTCATTCGGGAACTGAATGGATTCCATAACGAATGTCATTTTCTATGTTCGTGTGGCACTGGTATCAGTTACTCATATTTGCCTTCAGTGTCCTTTTAACGCGCATAGCTAACGTGCGTTAACTACTCTGGTACTAGCCAATGCGTTCCCGAGCCATGAGCTTTTACTCCGTTTTCTATACCTTGCCCCCTCCCCGTACTGTAAGGTAGTGAACCAGCCTTTCGAAATTTGGCCGGCCCTCCCCCTCTCTCCCCTTTTTTAACTCCCACACGTAAATACCCAGAACAGCTGCAGATTACTTTTCGTTAACTTCACAATTCCGTGAGATGGCAGAACACAAGCGGTTTGTGTCGACTTTCGAGCAATCTTTGTTGCGCGAGATCTTTATAAACGGAGTGCTGCCTTGACTTAGCGTATGAAAAGTTTATATAATAACGCAATGAGAGCAAAAAGTTGTTTTACTTTGTTTTAATTCGTTGTATTTCGTTTTAATTCGTTTTAATTCGTTGTAATTCGTTTTAATTCGTTTTATTTGTTTAATTCATCGTTTAATTCGTTTCAATTCGTTTTATTCGTCTTAATTCGTTTTAATTCGTTTTATTCGCTTATTCGTTTTAATTAGTTTTAAGCGCCGTGATGTATAACCAGATGACACTATGGAGATACGCAATAACTGCGCATAGCTGGAAGTTAGATGCGGGAGGTTCTTCCATGACCTCGCCTTTCCAGCGGATGGCGTGAAAACGCTATTGTTGAGCAATACACGTGTCACCGTTTCTTATCTTTCGCATCGAAGCACTCACTTGGAGTTGTTCCCTTTTAGCACTTAATGTGTCTTCAAGAAGAAGAAAAAAAAGGGGGGGGGGGCACACGAGGTACAGGTGAGACCCTAATGTAGTGTCATATAAAATGGTGCGACATTGGCTAACATTTAGTGTGCGTGAAGCTGTAGCGACAAAAAAAAAGGGGGAGGGGGGGACACCGTCCTGCACAATGCCGTGACATAATCTTGCCAATCAAAAGTGCGAGAGAGTTCTCACCGGTGCATCACTCGGTGACAATCTCGAGGCGTTTCCGACGCTGAAAGAAGCGGACCCCCCACGATACGTCCGCGCAATTTCTTAGCCTTCTTACGCTCTTGCCAGTGCGTTCGGAAGACGTGGGCTTCATGTCCATCTTCTTTTATCGTTCGATATTAACCGAGTTTCCTCTGTCGTCTTACTCACTCGCCCACACAAAAGGTGTAGCCAAAGCGACAGACGCTCAGGTGAAGATGACTTCGGGTAGAGGTGTTTTGAACTGTACTGTTTTTTTCTTCTTGTTTCTTTCAGTGATAAACGCACATGCTTTCTTCTTTCTTTTATCTACTCCAGATTACAAAGCCAGTGAAAGTTTTTTTTTCACTTTCTGCCATGCACTATTGATCAACTCTTGTCGTGTTTAAACGGACAGAAGTATATTAGAAATGTAGCAGTGCCAACGAAATGTATACTTCATACAAACATTTTGCACGGATGGTGATTCAGGCAAAGTTCGACGGCAGTGAAATTTATATTGCCGTTATCATGATCATTTTTCTTTGCTGTGGGACGCTCCCATCAAATAAAGCTTTTTTTTTCCTTCGATATGTGTGCGGAAGGGGGAAGGATGTTTACGTGTGTGTAAGCAGGGTGAGGGGAAGATTGATCGATACGTGGTGTTTAACGTCCTGAGACCACCATATGATTATGAGAGACGCCATAGTGGAGGGCTCCGAAAATTTCAACCACCTGGGATTCTTTAACGTGCACCCAAATCGGAGCACACGGGCCTACAGCATTGCCTCCAACGAAAGTTGGACTATTCGATTCTTTAATTTGACAGTGAGAGCAGTTTTGTAGTAGGGGCTTACTGTGATCTCTTAATTGTAACAATGGCCCTACCTTTGTTTGCTCATGTGTATTTAGGCGTAGCTATTGGACGGTGCGATAAATAAAGTCAGTTGAAAGTTTGCGGTAGTCCGTGTGTTTTTTTTTTTCACTGCGTCTTTGCGTGCCCCTTCAGCGTACTAGTCTACCTATGAAGTATGCATCCACTCATCCGGCTACGATACGAATTTTACTGAAGTTTCATTGAATCTATTGCGCCTGCACCACGCAAGTACCATCGTCTTCTTGGTGGACAATAAAGTGTTTATGGTGTCGCATCAGATAGTGTCGCCTCTTGCAAAATCACTCGACGCTTTTACCGTCCGAGCTTTTCATACGCTCTCGAGGAAGGGTGTGCCACTCAATATTTATCAAGACGGGCGTCGTGCAGGTCCAGTCTCGTGAACATGTTGTTTACCACCGTGTAACCGCACCTCCAGCGCGGAAATATACACGTAAAGAAGGTAAAACAGGGTAGAGCAGCTCAAAGGCGAAAACGAGATTGCCGACCACCTGTCCCCGAGAGAAAACAACAACCAAAATGCGCGCGCGAAGCCGACGCGGCCCGTCTCTTTCCCTCCGTCGAAAAGCGTGCGTCGCACCGCCGCAAGACGGCGTCCCGCTCGCCGGCCCGAGCACGCCAAAAAGGCCGGTCGCCGGCGCGCGAACGTTCGGTGCGCGCGAGCCACGCTTCGGGGCAGGCCGTCGAAACGCCCATCGCTGACATAGAAGCAGCGCGCGCGTATAGCGTGGTCCCCCGTCGTCGTTCAAGGCGTCACAGCACTCCCCGGCAACACCCTCCCCTTTTCCAACACACCACCGAAACCCCCGAGATCCCAACACCGCCGGGTACATCTTTCTCAAGTCCCCGTGGCTCGCGTCGTCGTCGAAATCCACGCACGAATCGACAGTCTGTTCACCAGCGCATGTCTACTGACCTGGACGTCCTGCTGACTTGGACATCCTAGAGGACACACACACACTAACAGAGCGACACATCCTTGGCGATGGCCTTGGCGAGGAAGCTGGTCTTGACGTTGTCCCTGATCGGAATCGGACCGTGGGCATCGGTGACGGCGGTGGGAGCGGGACTGTCCGATGCACCAGCCATCAGGCTCTGCGGAAGACGTCTTGCAGACCTCGTGTGGATGATCTGCATGGACCGGGGAGGCGTTCACAGCCACATGGACCGACGAGCCCGTGAGTTGTTGCTCCCACGTTTTCTCTGGAGGGGTGATTGCTATCTCGGCAGTGTTGTATCTCTGTAGCGACCCTTCGACACGCGCTCATCTCTTCCCAGTCCCTCTCGGTGGTGAGAAAACGGAAACTTGGCCGCGGACCAACGGGGCATGTGTCGTTTTCGGTCGCGTCCCGTGAAAGGGGTACGTGAGTCACAATGGTTTGGCGTGCCCTTCCGGGCCAGCCTGGATCTTGCACTCGTGCTTAGTTGTAGCGTGTATGAAACGAAAGTTGGACCGCGCCGTGAGCGATCGGTGACGTCTAATCTTGAATGACGTAGCCACTGTACGTGGCCCTCTCTTGCTTTGGAACGGTGCATGCTACCTTGTGTTACGTCGCACAAACCAAGGGCCATGATCATACTTTACAATTTCTTTTGGGCAACTAATTCTTACTGCGTCAATTGAAAGGCACAAACGACGAAACCGCTCAATTATTGTTGCGTACAGCCCTTTTTCTGAAGTCCTGGTTATAAAAAAAAACTGTTGCAGTTATCTGAGACATCACGCTTCTTCTTGACACTATATTTTTAACACCTTTGCCTTGATAACAGGCTTTCCGGTGATAGAAAATGTCTTGATAAATAATGAAATCAGAGATTATACCATCAAATATGATTTGGCTGTTTCACGACAATCTTAAGCTACCTGAACGTTACCTGGACTAGCTTGAACCAGTTACACTCTTTTTACCTACACGTGTGGTGTGAAAGTGTATTTGCTTCCTTTACTCATTTGACCAGTTTGATAGATAATTGGGTGCTTAACGTCCCGAAACCACCATATGATTATGAGAGATGCCGCAGTGGAGGGCTCCGGAAATTTAGACCACCTGGGGTTCTTTAACGTGCACCCAAATCTGAGCACACGGACCTACAACATTTCCGCCTCCATCAGAAATGCAGCCGCCGCAGCCGAGATTCAATCCCACGACCTGCGGGTCAGTAGACGAGTTCCTCAGTCACTAGACCACCGCGATGGTGCTTCATTTAACCAGTCAAATTTAAAATTCAGTAATGTAGATATACAGTTAGGTGGCATGGCCGTAGCGTAAGTACTACAATGCAGCGAAAGAAAATCTAACAACAAAAAAATCAAGAAAGGAGGACCAGCGAGAAGGACGGAGGTGGGTGGGCACTAAACTTCAACTCTGAAATCGATCTTCAGCCAATTCACCTAGCGACGAGTACGACTGAAAGTGTACCTAAGTGACCTAAAGTGTACCCTAAGTGAACTCGTCCATTCAGCTGCTTTGTCAAAGTGTGACACGCAAGTGCAATCGCGATGCATTCAACTTCAGTCGTCACGTTGAAGTATTAAGTACACATGCGCACGCTTCTTGTCGATAGCGATAACTTCATCGACACGTAACCGGGCATCAACAGGGCAGTTTCTCGTAGGCTTTCTCTATAACAGTGTCCCGCTGATAAAGAGCCGTCTTTTTTGTGTGCCACCGAAGCAAATTTCGGTCGGTGCTACAGCACTCGCACACGCAATGTCCGATACGTCTTGTAGAGATATAATCGAGGATGTCCCGCGGCGATCTATAACGGTGCTCCAGACACGTATCGCCTACGACTGCATGTGATATGCGTTTCTCTTTTCTCTGACTTGCCGCATCTCGAGCAGGGAATGCTGCATGTCCGCTGCCGGCCGAAACTTGGCCAAGGTCCAGACGGTCGACTTTCGGTACCATGAATGCATTTCTCGCGTTTAGTTGAAGGTCTGTGACCTGTACGGCGGGGAACGAGACCGACCCCAGGGCACATTGTCAAACAAGCACGACTTTCTCTTTTTTTTTTTTGCAATTGAACTTGACATACATTCGTTGGCCTATTTTCTTTCGCATCTGGCACTCTTCCGCTCACAATTCACTTATTCTGCGCACCCCCATCTTTTCTTTATTTATTTTTCATTTTGCACTAGTGTGTCTCGAATCAGTGCAGTCTTACCGTCCACTTGCGGCACATCACGGCGTAAATTCTACTTCATACAATTCATGTCACTTCCATTGTTTCAAATTGCGTGCGTATTTTATGCATAATAAGCGCGCAGGATTTAAAGGTCCTTCGATTGTTACCTTAAACTGTCATTGACCGCACACCAATTTCTCTCCTGGCACTCTGTGGTCATCGCCGACCTTCGAGCTATTATTCACCGTATGTGAACATAACTGTCTACGGCAATATTTTTTCCTTTATACGTAAACCCGTTATCATCTAAGCTTTCGATTTTTTTCAGTCTTTTCTTCCACCTGAACTCAGTGTGGTAAGACATATAAAATCAAGTCAAATTTATGTATATTGGCACCTAGAATACGGACTTTGGACAAAGGCCAGCAGGGCATCGCGTGGTCCCAATGATTCTACAGGCAACAAAAAACTACAAATGAACATAGTTTAATGAAAAGAAACATTATCCACATAATGACAGTAAAAATACTGTAAAGATAACTGTTACGAAATGTAAGAACAAGTGAGGCCCATGACTTAATGCTTGGTTTTCAGATTTACAGCTCACCAACAGTTCACTACAGGAACCTCCAGGATATTTACACTCTATATATACTGCATAGACGCATACTTTTCTGGGTCACAATTTATTTTATACATGTTACACAGTAATGTGCATTTATTAGTACAGACACGCAGAAATTTCTTATCCAATTCTCTCTCTCTCTCTCTCTCCATATATATATATATATATATATATATATATATATATATATATATATATATATATATATCGTTTCGCGATGTGCTCGCAGTTCTGTAAATGATACTGAATTGGATTCCCGCCTTGCTAAATAAATTTTTTGTGCATGTTTACTAGCTGCATCCGCTTGTTCGCTTGCATCTTGTTCGGTAATGTGATTTATTGATGCACTCGCATAAGCGGAGTTGTTATTTAGGGCGTAATAAGTGATTGAGATTCCGATGTGGGATGGACCACAGAAGTTTGTCCTTCACCGATCTTTGTCCTGTTGATGTTTTATTGATGGTCTTGGGATTTATCGTAACAGGTGATCGAATTTGAGTATTCTTTTTATCTGCTACTTCGGGCTTCCCAGCTATGAAAGAAGTATACAGAAGCTATCTTCAACTGGCAGATAGTGTCCGATTATATTCGGGATAATAACTGAATGCCTTTCTTACACCGTGCGCTTCTTTGGACGGTGAAACTTTGTGAAAAAAAAGAAACTGTAATCCATTCGCAAGTAGCACAAAAGCAAACCAGTTATGAGTTTTTTTTCTCTTTTTCGGGAACAAAGCCTCGCAATCAGGAGAGCTTGTCTCGCGCTAAAGGATTTGAACTTGAGACCAAGAGATTCGTCCACTGTGTGGGATTTCGTGCAGCTGATTTACCATTCGACTTTTAATTATCAAATAAATAGTTTTAGAATGAATGAATAAACTTTTTTGAATTATCAGCAGTTTTCTTCGGGCGAGGAAAGAAGAGGAGGGAATTAACCCATGTCCCATCCCACCCCTCATCGAAACAAATATTTTTACCTCCATTACGCGCCTTGCAATGCCGAAGGAATGATAACCTGCAGTGCAGCGGCGGCCGTTTCAGGACGGGCAACTCCACGCGGAGGGTCAGCAGGTAAAGCCGTATTCACTCGATGGACGTCATCGCGGAATGATCAGTCACGTGGCATGTGACGTAATTGGGGTCCCCGCGCAGCCAGCATTCGCACGACAGGAGAGGATTCGCGCTACAAGGGAGTATTTCGGCATTGGTTCCCGAGGATCCCAACCGCGATTTGGGCTTCCGTGGTTTCATCAATCGGTCTGCGCGGAGCGAAGTGGGAACGTGGGAGCGGCTGACGTATGGTGACGTAGTATGAAATCGGCAAGCTCGAATCGCGGTTTGGTTCGTCCTGTGAATCCAGCCTAAGGTGTTGTTGCGCAGCGTAGCTTAGAGAACGCGGCTTGGATGGCCGGCTTCTGCGACTGCATTTCGGAAGGGGAGAAAGCGTGAAAAAAAACCGTGCACTATTGTTTTAAGTGTACGCACGTTACAAAATACTAAATGGCCAAAATTATGCCAGAGTCCTCCGCTGTGGCCTGCCTAATTATCACATCGTTGTTTTTAATCAATCAATCAATCTGTTTCGGTTCTGTTCACTGCTCAGTTTTGTGTGTGTGGTGCGTGCGTGCGTGCGTGTGTGTGTGCGTGTGCGTGTGTGTGTGTGTGTGTGTGTGTGTGTGTGTGTGTGTGTGTGTGTGTGTGTGTGTGTGTGTGTGTGTGTGTGTGTGTGTGTGTGTGTGTGTGTGTGTACAAAGAGAAAACGCAATAGATGGCAGGAAAAAGAAGTTTCAGCTTTGCAGCTCCTCTACCACTCCGTACAGTAGCAGACATATACAAGGAGCACAGCATATCGAGAAGTCTTATTTTTACAGCTTCATTATACTTGATCTACTATATGGTACTCATATATGAGTATAATACTATGAACCATACAAACAATAAGTACAAAGTAAACCCCTAGAACTTTTTTCGAATAAAAATACTTGTAAAATTGGTGGCACACAAAGGCTGGGAAAATGTACAATGTATATATCGCGACACTTGAATGTTATACTGTTCTTGACAGCGACCTACAGACACACATTAATAGTTGAATGCAGGAAGAGTGCTCTGGATCGGCTAAAAGGGAACCCAAATGTGGCATCTTCCATGAACGCTTCATTTTGGGCGGCAACCTCGCGGTTGTCGCCCATTTGTGGATTAGCATCGTAATTTGCATCGGATTAGCATCGCTTATTTGTGGATTAGCATCGTAATAAGATTAACACCACACGATCGCTGTTCTAAGCAAGAGCAGCAGATAATTACTGCCGTAATGCTCTTAAGTGCATCCGCTTACCTTCGCTTAATCTCAAGAATGGTGCTATAAATGCTGCGACTCTAAATACAGACAGCCACCCACCTGTGAGTAAACTTGAATGATCTCCG